AACAAAAAGAGGGGTAGACAACCCACGGAATGGGTCAAGGTTGTAGAGGACGTATGGAAGGGGCTCGACATCGACGAAGATGAAACGCTGGAAACGGAGGGTCTAAAGGGGTTCAAGGAGAAGATATCTGTTGCTTGTGCCAGGAGAACAGAATCTAAACAAAGAAACCAAGGATAAGGAGGGTGTAGAAGTGTACGGAATGTTGAAGGAAGGAAAAGGGTTCAAGGATTACCTACATGGACCAATGGATGCAGGAACAAAGCGTAAGGTCAAGTTCAGGACCGGGGACATAGGCCTTCGAGAACGTCGACGAAGACATAGGACGGTAGACGACGAAGACGACGAGTTCAAATGTGATTGCGGCTTCGAATGCGAAGACCGTGTTCATGTAGTGGCGGAATGTCCCAGGTACAAGAAGGAGAGGGAAGTGTACGTGACTGAGCTGGGAAAAATAGATGGGACGTACAGGGAGATGTTTGAGGCATGGAATAGAGAGGAAAGGACGGTAGCTGCACTGGGGCAAAGGAGGTGGGTTGAAAAGGCGGGAAGGGATATCGTTAGGATAGACAGACTAGGGAAGACATTTTTGAGCCACCTATGGCAAAGTAGAAAGGAACGATTGGCCATCGGTGATCGGTCCTGTGGGGACAATGCTCCGTCCTCTCGAGGACGCGTGGTCAATGGTCTAACCGCTAAGGCATGCAAAACAAAAGTGTACGCCCCGCCCCCCCCCCAATTAATTAACACTTTAGCTTTGTGGCTGATTTCGTACGTTCTGAAGCGTTTCATGATCTGATTTTTTGTGTACGTGCGTCTGTTGCAACATGTATCCATTTGAGGGAAAAAAATTGCAATTGATCCATTCCAGAGGACAGAATCCTCACATCCTCGGGATTCCCGGCTGAAATCAGGTACGGATTTTACCCCATTCTTGACCGTACGGCGGTGTTGCGCACGTGAAAGAAGCCAGAACAAAGAGATTAATGCATATAATAGTTGGTCCATTCTGCTCATATATCGACTCCCTGAAGATAAATTAGAACGAAAAACGTTGCGTAGGTGATGTAATGCCCGTTCAAAAAGACATACCTTGGATCTGGCCGCTACGGTAAGAATTCTCCGCGGGGACCCCAAGGCCATTTGTTTTCACATTCACCTTACACTCCCACAACGTGCCCTTTATTGGGAAGGTGTACTCTATGCCAAGGAACGTTGTTGCAAAAAAAATATCCATGCACACCCTGGGACAAAATTGCCATATCCCCGGTTTCGCGGCAAAATCAAGGTATCGCCCCCCCCCCCCCCGACCCCGGTGCTGGAGTGCACCCCAAGCATCTCTGCATAGCCCTAGAAACCACCCCAAGCTTCTACTAGGCACATCAATTTGACTGTAAGAAAAAGCTATGTCGTCCGGAGCTCATTTGACCGCTTTACATAGACTACATACATTCAAGCACGCAAACTGGGCCAGGCAGAAAGCAGCTTGGCACTGCGGTGAGACTTCTTGCAGAAAACCGCACCTGTTTCCTACCACTCGAACGCCCCATCGAAAGGTCCTTTCAAGACGATCAGCTCAAGTCGCGAAGCAGCAAAAAAAATCAATAGCCCTTCAGGCCCGGGGACAGCATTCCAACGTCCCCGGGGTTCCGGAAAACACCTCTACACTCTTCATGCCCCCTCCCGCCCGTGGTACGCTCGAAAACTACCCCCAAAAGCTGTTGAAACACAACCCTGGAATGCATATCGGCACCTCGACACTCAACTGACGTTTTTCTGTATGTCTCACTCGAATAATTCATCCTTCACTCGAATAAAAAAAAAGGTAACCGTAAAGCATCTAGTCTACATATCAACGATTGGTGTCGGGGTTCGTTGCCGTCCTCGAGAGGAAAAAGGGGCCGGCGCGGGCGGCGGCTGAACCAAGGGAACCACCGCCCCTCTCGGCCGTCCCGCTCCTCCTTGAACGCAAGCACCGGCCCCCACCCGCCCACCAGCCCCCCTTCCCTCTCCGCGAGCACCAGCGGGGCGGCTCCGGCCACGCTGTCCCTGGCCGCGCCCGTCTCGCCCTTTCTGACCCCCACCACAGCCGCGCCCCCCGACCTCCGTCCGCGCACCGTTTNCTCCTCCTTGGACGCGAGCCCCAGCCCCCACCCGCCCACCAGCCCCCCTTCCCTCTCCGCGAGCACCAGCGGGGCGGCTCCGGCCACGCTGTCCCTGGCCGCGCCCGTCTCGCCCTT